TTTCATGTAGATATAATGTTTATATTAGGCCTAATTGCACCAAAACCCCCACCTTTAGCTTCATTGCAAATAAAGCTCAAGTTTTTTAAGTTTGCCAATAAATACCTAACCTTTTTGATTTGTTGCAAAAAAAACTCCGATGGATTTTCCGGCTGCTACCTTGATGAGTTGGCCGGCCAAATGCTGATTTGGCAGGTAAAAACTGACGTGGCTCTCCATTAAATTAAAACATATATGCTGATATTACACTTAATTTCCATTTCATCAAATTCCAATTTCCCAAATTTTCATTCGTTCCTTAATCCCTAACCCATCGATCGATCTCCTTCCTTCACAGAAGCTCGAAACTTTGAACAATGTCGGAAACCATTATCGTAAATCAATCCTAAATCGATCGAGATCGAGAACTCCTCCAAAAAAAAATTAGGACTGAAGCTGGAAAAATTGAAAAAAAATCATTGAACCCTAAACCGATCGAGTCTCTTCCCAAATTCCAGAAGCTGGAATAATGCAAACATTTCAAAGGTCCGAAGAAGTGGTTTTGTCATCCATGGAGAACAGGTATTCCCTTTGAGCAAAAATTAGGTATTCTTTTTTTTTTTTTCCAACGACAATTATATTAATAACTGAAAAACTCAAAAGAGTACAACCGAAGTGTCAAAAGACACACTGGAACCAGAAAACTGGACCAACCCCCCTTGTTAACACACAAAGGGGTACAAACTCCATCTAGGAGGCAAACACCTACAAAACAAAACTCCATAAAGAGACTAAAAGCAGACAAGCTGCACTGGAAGCAGACAAAGCTGCACTAAACGAACCAAAGCACCAAAATAAAACACAAAGCAAATCAGAAAAAACACACACCTAATGTACAAATAAACTAGAACCTCCCCTACACATAACAGACTCGATGCCCAACCACCGGGGACCACACACGATCCACATTCGCTAGCAAGGAGATCCAACAAAACCACACAACAGAACCTCAAGCCCGAAAATTGCGACCACACGGGCCGCCTAGACGGATCTGAAGAAGAGACTGCTTTCGGTTCAGATCTGGGCTCCGAAATCATCCACGCTGGGGAGAAGAGGGAGCTGCCGTGAGGACACCAACTCGCCACGCCGAAGTGCTCGAAAGAGGGATCGAACGGACAATAAGCCGCACCAAATGACCCAAACCATGAACAACAAGACTCCCAGCGGAACGATTGGACTGTACCTCCACGAGGCTTGGCCTGAACTATAGCTGCCGGCGGTCTCGTCCATAGCCGGGGATACTAGGAGACGAAGCAACTCAGACCCAACGTGGGCGAGAGCTCTCCAACCCAAACATCCACAAAGCCCAGAGAAGACAGAAAATGACCACAGCCACGAATCGACGAGCTCCTATACCAGTGGCGCGGCGGCAAGCCGGAAGGTGAAGGGGGGGCGGCGAAATTGAAGGTTGAAAAACCTAGTTTTTTCTGATTTAGGAGAGAAACAGAGGGGCGCGTCCCCAGCGCGTCTATTGGGCTTTTTTTAAAAAAAAATTAGGTATTCTAATTTGGGAATTTTGTAAAGATTTTGTGAAATTGGGAAAGAAATTTAAAATTTTAAAAATTTAAAAATTGGGAAGAAAATTAGGGATTAGGGAACGAAAGAAAAATTTGGAAATTGGAATTTGATGAAATGGAAATTAACTGTAATATCAGCATATATGTTTTAATTTAATAGAGAGACACGTCAGTTTTTACCTGCCAAATCAGCATCTGGCCGGCCAACTCATCAAGGTAGCAGCCGGAAAATCTATCGGAGTTTTTTTTGCAACAAATCAAAAAGGCCAGGTATTTACTGGCAAACTTAAAAAACTTGAGCTTTATTTGCAATGAAGCTAAAGGTGGGGGTTTTTGGTGCAATTAGGCCTTATTATTATTCTTAAGAATTACTATTGCATTAAAATGAGATTGGTTTGAAGTGTTATAACTTGTAAGTGACTAAAATTCTTGGTCCGATTTAGGCAAAACAAAATTAATTGTGTTTGGACTCGCAAAATAATTTTTTTATCATTAATTTAAATCAAAACTCGAATCAAATTAATTCAACATAAAACTATTCTTAATATTATTAAGATAATTATATAATACTCTGATATAGCCATACTCGCGTAGATCGGTGTTGACGGCTCGACCTGGCTGTAAGTCAAGCTGACTTTGACGATTCGAGTCGGGTATGCCGACTCACTAATTGCTACAGGAATGACCATGACTCGAGGTCCTCGAGTCGGTTTATGAGATAACGACTCGAGATCTCCGAGTCAACTTACCAGATAACAGGGAAGATGGATTTAGCCACGGGACAACTTGATATAAGTAAGGTGACGATCTTAGGAGTGGTTTCGTAGCCACAGGTTCCAGTCGACCTCGCACCTCTCGAGGTCGACTTCGCTCACCTCCCAGCTCGAGGCTTATACCAATGGAGGCCACATCTCGGTATATAGCAGGCTTAAAGGATAGGGATGAATCTTAAGAGGATAAGATGGAATCTAAAAATCAGAAAGATATGACTAAGAAATGTTTAGGATATGGATAAAGACAAGGATCTGGGCAGCCAGGCACGCTGACCGTGGGCACTTGGGCAGGGCACTCCGGGCAGGTATTTCTCCTATAAAAGGAGCTGAAGTATCACCTTACTACAACTTTACATTCACCATACATTTCATGATGCTCTATTTGCAGAGCACCACCACTATCTTTTTTTATACTGACTTAAGCATCGAAAGCCCTCCGCCGTTGGGTTCTTGCAGATGTTCGTGGCGGTTCAGACATATCGGAGTTTATTTCGACCGGTCCAATCCAAATCTAGGAGAGGACCATCATTAATTTAACTTAAAACTCTTTTCTATTAAAATAATTAGATAATACTCATAAATCATTATCACGCATTATATCAACTTTGATTCACTATTCATTCACTTGTATAATTTTAACTACACATCACTTCCAAATACATTTTTAATCAAATTTCAATTCAAAATAATTTATTTCCACTAACAGCTTATCTAAAATTACTATCTATCATCTATGAATGTGAGTAGTGATTTCATTCAATTCCCATATAGTTATGACACCGAGCTCATTCATAATCTTTGAAAGTATTTGAATAAATACAACTATGAATTACATGCATAAACTTTCTGCATACTATAAAATTAATATCATTTTACAAATGTATGGATCTTGAAACTCTTTGTTTATATTAGTATTGGTAACTTCATTAGTATTGTAGCTTTTCTTGTATCCGTGTGAACTTAAACCCACTTTTCTTCCCTGAAAGCTCCAAACTCCTCTTTTTGACTAAATGAAAAGAAACATGCTCAAAATTCTCATGACCAGTTCAAAAAGTTTGCACCATTTAGACAATCAATGCCCGGATATTAAAACCATTAGACAAACCAAGAGAGGGTACTTAAAATTGCCAAACAACAAAAGATGAACAACAACCAGCAGACAATTTTCTGTTACAAATGATCCTAAGGAAGCTACTTAACCATTTTGGGGGCTCTGGAACCTCCCCCTCCCGCCACCAAACCGGCCACGGCCACCTCTTTGCCGCCCTCTTCCACCACCACCACCACCACCACCACCACGGAATTGACCGGAATTCGATCTCTCGTTTGATAGCTGTTGATTTTGACCGTTTTGTGGTCCATGAAGCTGACCACCAATTTGTCCTCTGCCGTTCAAAGGTCCAGCTGCCTGCTGGCCGTGCAAACCCATTCCAAATTGGGCCGGATTCAACACATTCTGACCCATGCTTGCAACGGGCCAGGGTGGCGGGGCAAGCATTGGACTCCCAACCAAATTTGTTTGTCCGTTCAGCCCGTTAATGGGAATCGGGCCCATTTGCTGCTGGAAAGCCATGTTGGCCTGTAGAGGTGTGTGAAAAAACTGAAATGGCACGTTTTGTTGCATCCAGATCACATCCCCATTGCCCGGCAGCACATTTTGTCCCTGTTGTTGATGTGGAAACCTATTGTTATTATTCCAATTTCCATGGGGAGGGCCAAAACCGAGCCCCTGAGATTGAAATCGAGGCGCTACAGCTTGATTACCATGATTTGGGGCCGAATGGCGTGAAAAAATTTCTCGATTCAACCCAAGTAAATGCTCGTCTCGAGCAGGTGGAACAATTTCGCCACTTTGCGGAGTTTTTGGTTGAGGGTCCTCTCGGTTATGGTTCTTCCAGTTCCCGTTTAGCTTCTTTTCCCGCCTTTTTTCCTTTCTTTTGTTCGCGGTCTTCGGTTCGTTACCCGTTCCCCTTTTCTTCATCTTCAGCATCCTCCGGTACTCGGCCTCCTTCTCGTCATCCGAAAATTCCAGCTCGTCCGAAAGCTCCTCGTCATTCTCTCCGGACGCATCATACCCTTTTTGGTATAGACTCTTGTCGTTCAGGACGTGGCTTGCAAACTCCTCGACGAAAGAGACCAAAGTGCCCTGCTCGATTCCAGCTGGGACTTCGCTCTCCGAATTGTACCTCACAATGTAGTAAGGGTTCTTGACAGGCCCGAATATCTCATCGACTATGCCGAGAGGTGATCGGCTTTCAGTGACCCAAAGGACCGAGCCCTCGTTGAGTGGATTGTGCTTTTCGACACCTTCCACAATCACTTGAGCACCAATTATCTGATCAATGGGGAGGACTGAGTTGATATAGAAAAAATTACAAATGGGGTATCATTTTTCATGTCATATAATACGAAAATAACTTTACCGACAAAATTACGCCAACTGGAAGGGTTTCATGATGCGGTTGAAGGGCCACATTGACGGGAGGAACTGGAGGGAGAACCTGGGAAATCAAAAAGAGGTTGAAAAATATAAGCTTTTTTTTTTTTTTGCTTCATATAGAAAGCAATGCATATTGATAGGGCGATATCAGTTAATGGTCTGACTGTTTATATTAGAAAAAAAATATACGGCCGCAAGTTCGCATAATTAGATGAGTCGAAACAGGAGTTTTTTCCATTCAAAATCTGTAAGGTGGCACTTGCTATAAGGAGCATGAAACTTTCTATGTATGAATGTAATTCATTGACAAGGAAAGCAGAATAAAAACAAGAAAGAAGGCTCAAACAACTAGTGCCTGCAGTTTCTTATCCATTCATCATTACGTTTATTACTCGATACATCAAAAGGTGTATGAGGAGTGGTATAGCGAACGTACAACAAAGCATACAGAGAATTAGAGATACTTACACAAAGGAGCTTCAAAAAAAGAGTATAAATTGAACTTACAATCAAGAAAAATGAGATGAAGTCTTGAACATTTGTCAAACCATAAACCACAACTACGGCAGGCGAAAGGACTCATTTCCACTATCAGAATCCAAGAAGAAGAAAACAATGGCAATGAAAATAAATATCAACATTCGCTTCATAGCAAAATGCACATAAATCAACAATAGGCTCATCAAATTCAGCACATGTGTCATCAACAGGTGAACCATCGATATTCGCAACAGCTGCAACTTAATCACCAACCATATATCTATCAAGTCCAATCGGGTCTCGACAAAACACAACTAACGAATTGAACATCATGATCTAGCAAAACCATTTTCTTCACCTACAGTTAAATAATCATAGACTCACAACAAAAAAAGCAACCCAAACATTCAACTGCTCAATAACACAGAAATGATTCAGATAAAAACACACACAGCCACTGACCTTTAGCTCGTTCTTGGACATGATTGGTTCAGACACATCATCCTCATTATCACTCCAACCGACCATCTTGTCCACATCATCAGACAACACAATCTCGGATTCTTCTATTGGGAGCCGAACCTCAACTTTCTCCTTACCACTGTCCTCGTCATCACTGCTACTAGAAGACGAGTCACTACCACCGTCATCACTCACAGCCTCCTCATTTTGAAGCTTAGCCTTTTCGCCACCATTCACTCGATTCGACTCACCCAGACTCACTTTCCCAAGCTGTTCCTCAATCAAAACCCCCAATTCCTCACCCAGCCCGTCAACCCCCAAAAAACCCTCTCGGCCCGTTTCGACACCTTTCTCGGGAAATCCATTTTCTTCACATTTCTGTAAAATGTCATGACCATCCGCTTTGAGACAGTCCTCGGGATTTCCTATCTCGCCGATGCACGACCCAAATTCAATCGGGCCGGTTCCCGAATCGGCCATACCCGGGTCGCCGGAGAGCTCTGGATTCCCTTCCAAGAACCACTCGGCGATGGCGTCAAGATCGAGAAAACAATCGGTGAAAGATGACGGAACCTCCTCGAGCTCCGGGTTACAAATGCCTGCTGAAACTGAGGGTCTGGGGTCCTCCTTATCCTCCTTTACAGCTCCATCCGCAGCGAGACTACGCGGAAAACCCACCATTTTCAGCCTGTAAATTGGAAGGTCCCAAGGTTGAATTTTTCATAGCTTTTTATTCTGGGTTCATGAAGAAATGTATATATAAATGTGATTTTTTATTTTAGACAAAAGGAATTGAAGCGGAAGGTGAGGCGGGGGCAGTTTGAACCCTTAAACCCTAACAGAGTTCATAGAGGCACTGTAGTATAAACTCGTAGGGTTTTTCAATATTTTAATTTACAGTGTATATAATAGTAGTAAATAAATTTATTTTGTTCGTTAAATGTGAAAAGAGCAACAAATCAATAAGAGCATGCTTGGATTTGTTAAATTAAATTTAAAAAAGTTGGTATGATTAGTTGTTAATGAGTATATTAAAATAATATTTAAAATAAAATGATTAAAATTTAAAATAATGCTATAGATACGTACACAGGGGTGTACATAATACACACATTGAGTGTGACCCGCCAATAATAAAAAAAATCAAGTGAACTCCACTCTATATGAGTGTTATATACATCTCTATATACAATTATTATGTACTTGTAACATTTTCCTTATGAACCATAAATAACTTTTATTATTAATTAACTATTAAGTTTGAGTTAGCAATGAAAGGAAAATGATGTTTGGATTTGTTGAAAATCTAAAAAAAAAAAGCATGTTGAGATTTAAGCTCATTGATTTATTAAGGTATTAATTAATATATATGCATATAAGAAACACATTTTTTTTACGTAAAAAAATCACAAATTCTTTTGCGAGACAACTAACTATTAAATAGGTCAATCCGTCATAATATTCTAATACAAATGCATATTTGTACTATGATATGTCATAGATCACATTTTAAGTATTACTATTTGAAAAAGTATGTTTTTAAGTTCTATTATTTTATAAAGAGACAAATATATTTAATTGAAATAGTAACTAAAAATCAGGAAAAAAAACATTTGGTTTCCTGACTAAAAATTCAGGTTTACTAAATTAAGTAATTTTTTTGGCCAAAATTTGAAAAATTCCACCTAAATAAATGTAATTAATGTACAGAATCATTTTGGTCAAATATTGCGTCTATTACATTTATTAGTTGCATTATTTGAATTTGGAATATAATATATTAAAATAACTTATGGCTATTACCTTTATTAGTTGCATGACTTAAATTTGGAATATAATGTCGAAAAAATAAAATATTTTTATTTAAAAAAATAAAAAAAATAATTATTCATAACTTATGAGTCAATATTAACTTGGACGTAAACGAAATAGTAAATTATTTATAATTTAATAAATTACTCAACTATTTAATATTTTAATTTGAATAATTTATACAAATATAATTTTATTTTAAGTTGAAACAATATAAATTTTATATTTATACTTATTATTCACATAAATTTTTAAATATATGATAAAATTTTACCAAAATAACTATTTTATGGTATCACATAACAACCAAATCAAATTTTTGAATAAAAAATTTTGATATGACACTTATTTTAAAACAAATATTATGTAATTTATTATCAGTTATGTGCACCGCACGGTTGTGTACAAATTTTAAATGTAATTTTGCACATTTAAACTTTATATAATATTTTCAATAAATTAATATAGGTAAATTGTATTACATATTGTTCTATATTTTTAATATATAAATATTATTTAATAAGTATTTTTAATTTATAAATATTAATGAATATCTCTTACATGTGCGGTGCACGAGACTCATACTAGTTATTCATGAAAATAAGTAACAAAACGATTTATAGTTGTTTAGAAGACTTTCATTAATCATAAAATAACAAAAAAAAAAAATAAGTATTTCATAATCAGTGTAAAAAAAATACCCTATCGCCAAAATATTATTATTCATACTAGACAATATAATATCAAACTAGTACAACACCTGTGTATTACACGGGTGCTTGTTAAAAAATTATTCTTAAATTTTAAAATTAATGAGAAAACTATATTAAATTTAGTTTACTTTTTTTACAAAAAAAAATATGTATATATGTATATATTACTATATATTTTAGAATGATATGTGTTACTTATGACTTACAATTGTTATATTATAGTAATTTTTATAACTTATATCATATAACTACTTGAAATATAAATATATTAGTTGATTCTAATTAATGTCCAAAATAATTTTATTATTATTATAAAGATAATATAAGTTATTTTGTTATACATACAATATGGATGTTGAATCGAAACTCATCAAAAGAAGATTAATTTGATATATTACATATGTAAACCTGATAAAAAATACAAAAGTTATTAACTTTTAAAATACATATACAATTCAATAGTTATAATAATGAATGATATTAAAATGCAATTAATGCATGTAACATGACCATAAATAATCAACATATTTATGGCAATCCAAACCTAATTATTTTTAGTTTGGAATTAAATTAAAATTTACCCAATCCTAATAACGGAATATGCAATTTTGCCGTATAAGATTTCGAAGCACCAAAAGCAGCCACGTTGACTCAACGTAATATACAGAGGGATATAATTAGATTACCTTTATACGGAAGGAAAGTAATTAATAGTATTCTTTTTCAATCTAAAACCTACCATTATTAGGAAAGTAATCAATCCTCGAAATTATATGATTCCACTCTAAACCTTCCTAGAATAGGAAAAAAAAACCCGCACGCAACACACAAACACATATAACAACACATACACACACTGAATCTTCATATACTCACCATATTCAATCACAAGAACAACAAACACAAAGCCATTATTTCGAAGAAAGAAAGAAAGAAAGAGAGAAAGAAAGAATCTGCCATGGCTGCCTCTGAAAATTACCACGTTTTTTCTCCTTTAGCAGACACTTACCATTACAACATGGGTTTAACATCACCGTACAATAATCATCATCTTCATCATCAAGAAACTCCTATGGTTCCGTTTTTCGGGTTTCTTCAGCCAGGACTCTTCGTGCATTCTCCGTACTCGGTTCCTCTGTACGCTCCATATCTACCGTGGCCTTCTAATTCCGAGCTCTCACACATTCATCACATGTTAAACTGTCTAGCAATCTTTTCGGGCCGGGCTGAGAGCGAAGGTTACCATCCATTTATGGATTTTGATGATTCTTGGGCTCTTGATTATCCTCCACAAGAAGTATAC